CAGCTGTGCTGCTGCTCACATAGGCTCAGTACATGTGGTTTCTAGGAATTCCATGTTAAGAAGTGAATGTTTTTCAACAATGTGGTTAAGAATCAATGAATGTTGGATCTTCTGCCTTATGAGTTCCGATTACCCTGTTCATATTCAGAATTGCTTTAAGAAGTCCTCCTGGATACTTAATTTACAGGTAGTCCTCAGGTTATGACAGCAGTTGGGACCAGGATTCCTGTCACTAAGTGATGTGGTCATAAAGCATGACATCATGTGACCACATTGCTTAGTGATGGCAATCCTGGTTGCCATCGTAACCTTAAGACACATGGGTTGCGTGTGAGTCAAGGGAGGCTTGGGAAGCCCAGCGCAGGCTGCCCGTGAGTCAAGGGAGGCTAGGGAGGGCCTGGGAGGCATGGTGCAGGCTGCATGGGCGGGGGGTGCTGCAAGCAGGAGTGACTTGCAATCTTCCTGGCCACCATCCATTGACTTTGCTTGTGGGAAGCCAGCAGGAAAGGTTGCAAATGGCAATCATGCGACCACAACTCCTTGCGATGTAATCATGAGCCAGGCACCCATGCACCTGGATCATGATCACGTGAATGCGGGGATGCTGTGATGGCCAGAACTTTGGGGACCAGTTGTACGTTCATTTTTTCAGCACCGCCGTTACTTTGAATAGTTGCTGAATGAGTGGATGTAAGCCAAGGACTACCTGTAATTAATGCCTCTGGTCCAATATATTCCAGTTAAAAAGTATTTTTTATTTTAGCTCTTTGTTTTAAATGTGTATGCCTCCTTTTAGTGGCTTAATTCTTTTCAATGCATCAACTCTTACTATGCCAACAACACATTACTTACTATAGCTACATGTTATTTTGACAGAGCAGAGGATTTTTCCCATTAAACCCAGAAGTGGAGGAATTTTGCACCCAGCTAGGCTATCCATCAGTAACTCCAAGCTCCAAAAATGATTCGGATCAAAAATCCAAGCCAGGAGGAAGTATGTATGCAGCATATCATAAACATATGAGTAACTAAAGCAGAGTCTCTTGATATTCAGACATTATAGTAGCTTAAATTAAAAACTGTAGTGCTCAGACAGATAATAGTCTTTCTGTTGATTCATTCATCATGTTGTTACAACATTGTGTGCAGTTGCATAGACCCCCAAAAAAAGAATTTTAGGAAGATGGCTTTATTCATTCTCTTCTAAAAAGGCTTTATTAACCATCCCTGTATCAGACTCCATTGAGTCCCTGCCTTTGTATGCTACACCAGTGAAGGAAAAATGCACCTGGCCCATGAAATGGACTGGTTTGATTACACCTACATGTTTTTGTGTTCAGTGTGCTTTTATTGGCTCAGCCCTGCATAAAGCCTGACCACAATGCTTGCAATATATCTGGCCCTTGATGTTAAGGCCACTTTTTTAGCAGTGCTATGCAAAAGGCTTTGAATTCAAAATTTTCTATGCTAGAAATGTTCTAAGCATGAAAGAGCACCATTTTGGGTGGGAACACTTCTACTTGGGTTAAACAAACTGTTTTGTCTTCAAACAGCTGTTTCAAGCCCCAAACATTTGCAATTTAAAATGTTTTGCATACCTGTTAGCCATTAGTAATGAGGAGTTTATTTTCCTTAGACAGTGGAACCTCAGGTTATGAACGCTTCTGTTAACGAACTTTTCGGGTTACGACCAGCTCCGGCCACAAAATTTTGCTTCGGTTTGCGAACTCCGCCTCGGGGGACGAACAGAATATGTGGCCATTTTCCCTCCCGTGACACGGTCCGTGGCCATTTTTCCACCCCTGACACGTGGTCCGCGGCCATTTTTCCGCCCCTGACACGTGGTCCACGGCCATTTTTCCTCCCCTGACACGTGCTCCACGGCCATTTTTCCGCCCCTGACACGTGGTTCGCGGCCATTTTTCCGCCCCTGACACGTGGTTCGCGGCCATTTTTCCGCCCCTGACACGTGGT